CAATTCTATCAGAATTTGATAATAGTAACTTACGAGATCAAATTAATTTGTTGCGAAAAGTTCCTGAATTACCATCTGATATTTTAACAAATACATCATTATTATCTAACACAAATAATCAACAAATATTAATGTTTTCTTCTCTTATGAGTATGTGCTACAAATTACTTCATAAAGTTGCAATTAGTTCTTACAATTCAGAATTGTATCGAAGAATGTCTTTGAGATTTTTGTATAAATTCGAATTGGCATACTGTTATATGAAAGATTTTGTTATGAAATATACAAATCGCTCAAAAGAAATGAAATCTACTACACAAATAAATGCACTTTTAACTAGAAGAATTACACTACAACAATTGTTGAACATTGAAAATACACTTCTGAAACTTTTTAGTTCATCAACCTATTAAGCAAAAGAAAAAAAAATTAGTTATATTAGATGAGATTTCAATAAATATTCCAGGATTTTGTGGTAAGGTTTCAGCATACCAACTTAAAATATTCACTACTGCAAGATCATGACTAGTAGAACTTCTTAAAGCTTTAAATAACAATTGGGTAATACTCGACTTGGTTGATTATACAACTATAACTTGGCTTGCAAATATCAAAAAAGATAAATAGATAGAACTTATTCATCACATTACTTCAGATTTATAAATTTATTTGCTTTATTTGCATTCATTTTATAAACTATTAATATTAGTATATTTTAATGTATATAGATAAATTTTGATTTAAATTTGCTTAATAGATTACAAAATTAATAAATTGTTATACAGTTTTTGCTTTTAAGTAATGTTAAATACTAATATAATAAATTAAAATGAAATATTGTATAGTATAGTCAATACTATCTAATTGCATACTATCTGTCAGACTTTTTTATATATAGATAATATATATATATTTAATAAGAATCACTTTTGTGTTAATAATTAAAAGTCAGAATTTTTTTATGTATTTAAAGAGTATATGCAATTTGATAGTATAGACTATATTAAAAATAAACAAGTCACTGAAAAGTAAAAATTAAAAGCCCAATCTTTGTTTTGATTATGTAAATTATTTGAATATAAATATAATATTCTTTTTTTTTTTTTTTTGTTCTTACTCTTTTTTTCTTTTTTTACATATCTGCTATATTCTTACTCTTTCTTTTTTTATGTATCTGCTATATTTCTTTTCATACATATTTATAGATAAATAATATTAACCAAGCTACCTCTGGTTTGAAAACTTCAATACCATTAACTATGAAAGGAATTGCTAAAGCACTAGATACTGTATTTGAAAATTTAAATAAAACCAATTCCAAACTAAACCGTATTAATAAAGTATTTGAGCAATATCAAGAAACTATTTCTATTCAAGCTACAAAGCTTCAAGACATGTATAATAATTTAAACACAATATTTCAAGATATTTTTTCTACTTTAAGCATGAATATCTTAGAAATACAAGATAAAGTCATTGAATATACTAACGATC